ATCATCCCTGCCTTCTGCCTAGAGTAAGCGTGCAATTAGTGAAGTATTTTACTCTGAGTAATTAGGGCTGTCAGTTTCCAAACACTGCTCTGTCAGGCTGAAGGAGCCACTCAGCTAGTTGAATTAAAGGGTATTATTGTTAATACTTTATCCAAATGTCTGGACTGTTGGTATAATTGGCTGGCAGTGTTTACCCAATAGCTTGTGATCATGCTGAGAAATGGTTAAGTTGCTTCTGCTGATTCACTTAGGCAGGTAGCTCATTCTTCCACCTGAATGTATGAAAAGTAGTGGTGGTAGCTATTAAAGAGAAGATCTATGGTTTAAGTTGCCCAGAGACAGGAATACTAGGGACAGCCAAAACCTAGAGAGACGGTCTCAAAAGAGGTTTTTTTGTTTGTTCTTTTTACAATAGTGTGAAATGTTTTTTAGAGCAGATAATGAAAGGCACGTCTCTTTAAATATGCTATTTAGTGCAAGAGTATCTTTTATTGACTGGTTGGTCATGATGCTGGCAACATTTTGCTGCATGAATAAAATAATTTTTCTATAAATTTGTATTTTCCAGTGCCTTTAGTTGAATTTTAAAATTTGTTCATTATTTGGTCCATTCAGAGAGCGCCATACAAAATGAATACAAAACAAAATAATCTTTAAAAAGAAGCCACATAGGCCCGAACACTCAACCTTTCCAAGTCCAATAAATGTGGGGAAAAATCAGAGGGAAATAAATATGTATTACTATTTTCATGAAGAAAATGGGGTTTCCAGCTATCAAAACATTTTTAAGAAAATGCTGTCAGGCTCTGAAATGAGGTGGGGGTAGACTTTGCAAAAAAAAAAAAAAAAAAAAAAAAGGAACGTAGCATGGGTTTAAAATACTTAACTATTCCACTTTATTAAGAAATATAGGGCATGTCTACACATGCTTTTACACATGCCTAAACTTAATGCGCATTTGCCTAATGTGCATTAAGTCAATTTAGGTGTGTGTCTACACATACACATATTAAGGTGCATTAACACTCTGTGCGGACCAACTTGGGACTAAGGTTAGTCCCATGTCAGTCGACATACAGTGTTAGTGCACCTTAGCACAACTAAATGTACTTTAGGGCACTTTAACTTTTGCAAGTATCAAATTGGTATGAATAGCCTAAAACTGCCATTCGTAAGGTGCATTAAGGACACGCAAATGTAGACCTGTGCCGTTAATGCACCTTAAAAATGGCTAATGCACCTTAAATCAGCACATGTAGATGTGCCCATAGTTGACTTTTTCCCCATGTGTGTAGCCTCAGGATAATATTCCATGCAAGATGCATCTTTTCACTTCAGCAAGTTGAAGAGGAAAGATTAGAAAACCGTTCCACCAGCTGTAAAAAGATGGGAAAACTCTAGTGGTTTCTTAGTTAAATTTTTGGAACTCTCCAACAAAAATACCAGGTCAAGATCTCCTTCTGTGTCTCTGTCTGCTATGTTTGATTCTTGGATCTGAAATGAACAGAAGGATCTTTTCTATTGCAGAGGAAATTGGTATGCTAACTAATACTTGGGTAATGGCCATCATCTTGAATGACTGACTATAAATTGAACTGGAGACCTCCAGAACTAAAACTATGTGCTGCTACAACTTGAACTGAAAAGCCAAGACCCTCAAACCAACTAGTACTCGATACTAATTTGTATTATCTGTATATTGTGTACAGAGACAAGTGTGTAACATATTCTCACCAGTTAATTACACTTGGTTCTTCCAGCATGCCAATAGTGCATTCCATATTCATACACAGAAATAGTCCCAATGTACACAGACTGTTGCACCAGTCTTAGGATAAGACTTGCAATCCTGATAGCATGCATAATTTTCCTTTTACTGTCCAACAGTACATATATCATTGCTTAAATGACCTGCCTGCTCTACTTTCCATATTTCATTTTGCAGGGGTTACATTTGTTGGAAACCTGTTATCTGAATAAAACACACTAAATACCTGGAATTATTGGCTTTCCCCAAGAAATAATCAGAATTTGACTGTTTCTCCCCTGTGTTCTCAGAAAGCTGAAACTGTCCTGAAACCAGTATTTTTAGGAAGCTGGGCCAAGAACTGGATTATAGGTTCCCAGAAGGCAGTGCAATGGCACAGGTGTTTGATAATACCAGTCTGGACCCACTATGAAACTGCAACAGAAATCACTTGTTTAGTTTGGCCACAGTGCTCTTATAGTTCAGTTATCAAATTTAGATTCAAACAAACAAGTGTTAGTGAAAAACATTGGGAAGCATAAGGAGCCATTGTAGATTAATACTACTTCACATTGAGTTGCTCTTTCATTTGCTGTGGGTACATCTACACATGCAATTTACTGAGGAGTAGACTAATTAGTTGCATAGTGGTGTCATTGTTTACATGTGCACTGGTATTAGGGCATAGTAAATTAATTAACTTCACCGTAAGGCTGAGTTAATTTACTGCATTGAAACACCTGTAGATGCCAATTCCAAGCATAAATTGTGCCCAGGTAGCTGAAGGCCTGCTCCGTCCTAGCTGAAATTCCTG